GAGAGAGAGAGAGAGAGAGAGAGAGAGAGAGAGAGAGAGCGAAAGAGAGAGAGAGAGAAAGAGAGGGGGAGAAAGAGGGAGAGAGAGAAAGAAAGAAAGAAAGAGAGAGAGAGAGGGGGAGGGGAGCGAGTGAGATAGAAGAAGTAGAAAATATGGGGTAACATGTTGTAGGTTAAAGACAATAGAGAATGTAACGGTAAATAGTAGGTTGCTAGTCACCACACACTCTCTCTCTCTATTATGAGGGTCCGCCCCACAATAACAATTTAAAAAATAGAAGAGGTGGATTTTTTAAATGGTTACCTATTGGTGCAAGGTTCTTAAATCGTCTACATCTTACATCACGTACGTTATATTATCAAATACAATACATCAAAGTATACTGTATAAATCGGTAGGAAAATCATGCGAAATCGACAGGTGCTGGGCAGCGTCGGTAGCATTAGCATGAACTAGCTATGGGTAGCTAGGATGAGCTCAACTGAAAGGTTTCAGGCCGAACCGCAAACTAGTGGCTAAACATGTTATCAAGAGCGCCATAATAATCTATCAGTTATATAAGAGCACACAGCTATAAGAGCGCACAGCTAGGGTTTATCTGCTCTTTCCTACAATCTCTACAAGGAACTAACCTAATCTGAAACCGCAAGGACATCTACATCTGTATCAGGATTGGCATAACATAGAACATATGTATTATCAGGACATCTACATCATGTCACCTATGACAGTACAGTATACGCATGCGTTTTTTAACACCTGCATGTGCGGATAACACCTACACCGAACGAGATGTACGCAGCTAGCACGGAACCGGAGATGGTTGCGAAGCCGCCCGTCATGATGGCGTGTAGCTCGGACTTGGTCATGTCGGGAAGGAAGGTCCGAACGGTCAGCGGAGCTTCAATCTGAGAACGGACGCAGTCTATCAAACATTCCGAAATCTCGTGTAACCGCAATCCCCATAATCAACACCCACACATACACACACTCACACTCCGTATGTATTCATGTACGTAATGACATTGTGTACTTGATCAAGCTACTGCCGGAGGATTTAACGAGAGGATCGGTCAACATACGGCATGAAATCAGTGAGAGGCCGTTTGCCGTGGCGTACCTGTCCGACGAACATGTTCGCAGCCATGCTCACAGATTCGGCTGTTGTTGTTCCGATAGTGTTGCTCATGAGCCACGCTAGCTTGATGATGATCCATTGCATCGCTCCCAGCTGATAGAGAATTCCCAGCGTCGCAGAGAAAAATATGATCACAGGCAGAACCTAAGAGAAAAAATCGCGAGGACAGCTGTGAGCGTTCGTGTCGAGCAGAGGTCGTGATCCTTATTAAGAGGTCTCCTGTCGCATAAAAATGTGTCACAGAGAACCGTAACTGCGCTTTCCTTCTAGCGCCCACCCTCCGTCTCACTCCCGTCCCTTCGCTGGGGCTACCAGAGCCGTATAATATTATAGAGAATACTCTCTATATACGGCTCTGGGGGCTACATGCCAAGAAGCGCACGTCCATCGCGCCCAATGCAGAAACTTACCTCGAAACTTAAATACGGGTCGTTAATGTCGACGAGGTAGCCCAAGTAAGCGAGCGAGGCGTTCACGAAAGCCAGGATCGACAGGAACGCCAGCAGATTGGCGGCAATACTGCCGACGATCTTTACGGCACTGCTAGCCCCCACCGACGCCGCTTCTATGATGTTCCTGTGTTCACTGTGCCCGCAAACGTGCAGCTATTTTAAATTATTTTTTTAAAATAATAATATTCAGTAATATTTCAAATTCAATATTTTTAATAATAGATTTAGATAACGATTTTTAATTTAAAGTCGCGTAAAAAAGAGCACGCATTTACTGTGATATTAACAGGAGTGTCATAATTTAGATGATTTTCTCTGACCCAAACCGATTACAGGTATATTAGAGTGCGTGCGTGCGTGCGTGCCCGTACGTGTAAGTGAGCGAGAGAGAGATAGAGAGAGAGAGAGAGAGAGAGAGAGAGAGAAAACAAGGAAATGAGTGAGTGAGTGAGTGAGTGAGTGAGTGAGTGAGTGAGTGAGTGAGTGAGTGAGTGAGTGAGTGAGTGAGTGAGTGAGTGAGTGAGTGAGTAAGTGAGTGAGTGAGTGAGTGAGTGAGTGAGTGAGTGAGTGAGTGAGTGAGTGAGTGAGTGAGTGAGTGAGTGAGTGAGTGAGTGAGTGAATGAGTGCGTTCGTGCGTGCGTGAGTGAGTGAGCGAGTGAATGAGTGAGTGAGCGAGCGAGCAAATGAGGGAATAACTGATTAGGTGACTGCGAGAGAATCCCTTTTAAGTCTAAAGAAAGAACGTCTAAGTTAAAAAAAAAAGGACGAACCAGACACTGAGCAGTCTCTGATCATCTTTATCTGAGGGGAAATTGAATACGTCCTGCGTCTTCAGCGTCCGAGGAGACCGAGGAGATGGCACAGGGATATGATAATCACCAGAGAAACTTATTAATTTATAACTTACTAGGAAAGTTTTCTAACGCTCCTTGTTTAAATCGCGTATAATTAATGTTGCACTGTCTATTATTTAACTCGACGCGATTAACTCACCCCTTGGGCATCGTGTTCTCCACCTTCACCCTTTTCAGCAGGGAAACCTCGGTCTCGGGTAGAAGAGCTTGGAAGAGCGTGTGCAGGGGCGCTTCGATCACACCGCGTGATGACGGATGCGAGGCGGCCCACCTGCGACCATCGAGTGTAGGCCACTAGTTTCAAAACTCACGTCGAGCAATGAAGGGGACACACGCCGACAATTTCTCAGAGTTCTCTCCTCTCTCGATGCTCTCGGTGCTCTCCGTCTCTCTCTCATCACCTTTTTTCTCTCATCATCTTTCTCTCTTCTCTCCTCTCTCTCTCATCTCTTCTCTCGTCTCTCTAAAAGATGAGCTCAAACTGAGAGGTTTTCAGGCCCCCCGAACCGCAACTTAGGGCTAAACTGTTATCAAGAGCGCCATAATGCCTATAAGTTTAATAAGGAGCACACAGCTATAAGAAGCGCACAGCTAGGGTTTATCTGCTCTTCTTACATTCTACAAGGATGCTAACTAATCTGAAACCGGCAAGTGAACATCTAAATCTGTACAGGATTGGATATACTATTATCAGGACATCTCCATCATGTCACGCTTATGACAGGTACAGTATACGTGCATGATCGTTTTTTAAGCAACCTGTGCGGATTAACACCTACACACCGAACGAGCATGTAAACGCAGCTTAGCAGGAATCCGGAGATGGTTGCGAAGCCCCCGTCATCGATGGGTGTAGCTCGGAACCTGGTCATGTCGGGAAGGAAGGTCCGAAACGGTCAGCGGAGCTTCAATCTGAGGAACGACCGCAGTCTATCGAAATCATTCGCGAAATCTCGTGTAACGCAATCACATAATTAACACCGGCACACACATAGGCAGCGACACGTTCAGACATCCGGCATGGTAGTTTGATGTACTAGATGGACATGTTCGTGTACTTGATGTCAAGCGTACTGTGTGCCGAGGATTAAGAGAGAGGATTCGGTTCAACAGATACGGCATGAAATCAGGTAGAGGCCCGTTGCCGTGGGCCGTACCTGTCCGACGTAACCTGTTCGCAGCATGCTCACAGATTGCGCTGTTGTTGTTCCGATAGTGTTGCTCATGACTCACGGCTAGCTTGATGATGATCCCTGCCTTGCTCCAGCTGATAGAGAATCCCAGCGCTCGGCAGAGAAAAATATTGATCACTAGGCAGAACCTAAGAGAAAAGATGCGCGAGGCACAGCTGCGAGAGTTCGTGGTCGAGCAGAGTCGTGATACTTATTAAGAGTCTCCTGTCGGCATAGAAATGTGTCACAGAAAACCGTAAACTGCGCTTGTCCTTCTAAGCGCCCACCCTCCGTCTCACTCCCCGCCCTCCTCTATCGTTCTCCTTAGCCTCATTTCCTTCTCCCTCCCCCCATCCGCTGGCCCACTTTCTCTGTCTCTCTCGCTCTCGCTATAGTTCTCTCTCTCTATCTCTCTCTCTCTCTCTCTTCTCTCGCTAGATCTTCTCTCATCTCTCTCTTCTCTTCATCATCTCCTCTTCGTCTGTCTCTCTCTCTCTATCTCAATCTCACGCACCATTAGTCTTTTTTCTTCTCGTCTCTCGTCTCTCTCCTCCTCTCTCCTCTCTCTCTCTCTGTTCGCTCTTCCTGTCTTCGTCCTCTCATCCCTCATCTCATCTCGTCTCTCTCCGCCTCTCTCTCATCTCTCTCTCTGTCCTCTTCTCCATCTCTCTCTCTCTCTCTCTAGTTCTCACTCCTGTGCGCGTTCTCGTTCTCGCGCTCTGTCACTTTCTTCTACCCGTTTCTCGCCCACCCCTTTTCTCTCGTTCGTGCGCGCTCTCCTCTCTCTCTCTCTCTCTCTCTCTCTCTCTCTCACTCTCTCTCTCTCTCTCTCTTTCTCTGCCTCTCTCTTGTTTGTATTATGTTCTTAGCATATCTAAATCTATGTGTGCTAATGAATGTTCACAAGCACGTACCTGGAAAGCGAACGGATGCTCGAGATACTGAGGATCCCCGAACAAGAACTTTGCTCCCTCGTCACTGTACGAAAAGAACGCAGCCGCCTGATCGCCGAGGAAATAGAACAGGTCCTGACCGGCCGTAGTTCTTAGTATGAACAGGCCGACAACGAACTGAAGACCAAAACCCCACACAACGGGCCGCCAGTTAACCTGCAACGGAGCGAATTACAAACGTAGCATAGAGGATTGGCTCAGATAGGAAAGATGTTGGGCATGTTGTACATATTATATGCATATTGTGCATATGTGCATATATCATGTTGTGCATATGTGCTTAAGCTCTTGGTATTATACACAGTCGGTTTGGCCTATCAGTTATACTAATGCAGGCGTAGCCGCATATAGTGATGGTACTATATAGGCCTACTAGAGGAAAATACGCAGTACACGATGTTTCGTCACAAAGACGGAGTATTTTCTGTTGCCACATGGTACAGCGTCATTTAAAATTATGCAATCATGAGCAACTAGTATATGAATGACAAATTTTTATTATAAAACGTGTGCGCATACCGTATTAGTTTAGGTATATCGCTGTTCCAAGCTTTTGTGCACGTAGTAAGCACCCACGTAATTCACATTCACATATATGTGTGTACGTGTATGTGTGTACGTGCGTGCGTGCGTGCGTGCGTATATGCGTGCGTGCGTGTACGTACTATTCATCCTACGAGGTATACTAGAATGTAGAATAGCAATAAACCCTGAACTGAATAGTCGTATTTATAACAAATAGCGACGCACGGCCTTACCAAGCAAGCGACAATTTCTGTAGACTTACTTTGTGTGGGTATTTACTGCAGATGAACATTACAACGACGAAAACAACTTGCCCGGCCAATGACAACAGATTTGCGGGTCTTTTGGGGACAATATCTAGCACAATAAACGTGATGTACGCACACAGTAGCAGCAGCAAAACCACCCTATGAAAACAACGATAAACTAAATCAGGACTCATGCGCTAATGTTAGTATTTAAGTATAATAAATATAAATTAAATTATAACGTTAAAATAAATGTCACAAATAATCAAACATGATTATCTACTTAATCTAATTATTCATCGGTTTGTCAACGTAGTGTAAATTATCTCTTGAAACTTTTCCAAAACAGCATTGCCTCGAAATTTACGCACTTGAGGCACGACATTTTTCTCTATTGACGTAATGCTACATAACGTCAATGTATTGAAGTAATTGAACAAAATTTGATAGTAAACAAACCATTTTATCCAATCTTTAGCAAACACTTGTTCGCAACATCCAGTGTATATGTGACCAAACCGTGCTGACAACCAATCACCAAAGTACGTCTTTATGAGATCGTATACCTACAAAATATACAAATCAGACCCGTTTATCTTCCGCGCATATTCGATGCAATCTATTTAATTCATTAAGACAGATAATGTTAGTATTATTAAAGAGACTGAATGACATCATTTTAGTAGAATTAAATTTGTCAATAGGTCTGTTGCTAGCGATTGTATATACCGTGCTTCCTCAACAATCCGACTCGTGTGTGTTTCATCAGCTAAATTTTACATTTCGTGCGTTTTAAGATAAGATATTGCCGACACCTTACCTTATTATTAGGCTGACAGTCAATAGGTTCTATATTACTGACCCGTATCTCGTATGTCTGACGTAGATTTTACGTATTATCCGATTTTATGAGAAGGAGTTTGTAGCTATAAATACGCATTGCCACTAAGTCTACTGCTCCAAAGATGCTCGTGAATTAATTAAGGAAGATCATAATTTTTCCACAACGAATATATTCTCTCTATTCTCTCTCTCCCTTTTCTTTTGCGTTCTTTCTTCCGATATCCCCCTTTCTCTTTCTCGCTCTCTCCGACTGTCTCTCTCTCTCCTCTCAACCCCCTCTCTCCTCCCTCTCTCACCCGCCCGAAAATACTCGAACGAAGTAACAGGTGAGGTTAGATTTCACCAACTCATTTATAATGTCTGCTCACACTCTAGCAAGCCTACACACTTAGGTAAATCAATATAAATATATACATGATAATAATTTGTAACTTGATTAAATCCTATCGCAGAGTGTCAGGAACATTTTTAGGTACAGCTGCAATAGTCACTAACCACAAATACGAGCACTATTCCGGTGATGATAAGTAGGTAGCGAGCACGTTCTACATCTTTGTAAGTCGCACAGACGACATAGGCGGCGAACCCTAACAACAGCGTCACTACCACCGCGTACCAAACGACCTTCTTTAAAAGAAAAAAACCAACATAGATATCGGCGTATTGGAACAAGGAAGAGACGTATGTTTGCTGAAGGCGCATGTTTAACACCAGCGAAATTACCAGCTGTCTTTATCACGACCTTCTCAGAAACTTCCTGTATCAGCCGAGATCACAGAGATTACTGAGGTTACTGAGAGTTATTGAGATTACTACTTATTCGCTTATCACGTTTATAATATAAAAACTTTTTGGGTTATGTAATGTCAAACCTGTCACGAAGTACTTGATGGCTAAACGCTTACCCTAACGGATGGGTTTCTCCAAATGTCTGAAACCACTTTCTGTATACCGGCCACTTTTCCCATACAGCCGGTAGGTATCGGTTCCTCTTCCTCTACATTAATTTTCTCTTCTATGTGGCCAACTTTACAACTCTCGCCGAATGATCCTGAAACATCTCAGGAAAATCAATCACCATTAGAAATGGCGGTTATCTTTAGTGATGTCACTAAATAATGAATGATTGAAATAATGATGATGATTGAAATAATGAACTGCATGCGCGATGTATCGCTTCAGAATGTTACGAACTGAACAGGTCAAATGACAGTGTCTATTATAAATTGGCATCACGGTATTTAAATCCGTGCACAATTTATAGGCCTCCGTGCATTATATATGTGTATAGAGAAATGGTGTCGTTACAAATACCGAATGCCGGACTCGTTATTTTATTAAGTGAAAGATAAATGCATAACACAACGTTTAAGGAGTAAAAGACCTACATCGTAGGAAATACCAATAGAAGTGCGCAAAATGAGTCAACAAACCTATTTTTATATAGTCCGGTACAAAACGTGGGATTGGTTTCTGATGTAAATTTCCGCTGATAACATTCTGAAAAAAAATGACAAGGTCTAATATAAGAACAGCGAGAACTCACTTGAGAGTTACTCGAGAACGCGTAAATACACGCAAACCCACGCGCGCGCATTCACGAAAACACATACACCAAAGCACGCCCGCACACACACACACACACACACACACACACACACACACACACACACA